GGTCCGGTGTTTTTTGAGTGTTAAGCGTGCGATAAACGATTTGTTCGTCAAATTTACGAAGTTCAATTGCTGTATCATCAGTTTTATAACTATGTTCAATAGCAGGTTTCACAATATTGTTCGTAATAATACATGTATGAAGACGAGAGTGACAATTTTGAGAAAAATAATTAATACAACGCCAATATGTTTTTTCATTCGTAGTGCGATCTTTTATATATGAGAAACCATCTATATCCAAACGTGCTTTTTGTTTTGTAGTACCGTTAATTGATATTGTAGCCATTTTGAGCAAGTAAGAAGTTTTGATAATAACAGAAATGTTCCTTCATTTATTTATACTACTTCTATGTAGCGTTATCGAGACCGATCCACTTATAATCCCATTAGTAGAGTGTTAACTTAATTTCAATACTTATCTGTGAATCTCGTAATTAGCTTTATATTTTTAGACATAATCTATACATAATTCTTTACAGAGTTTATAAACAATCATTTGCTTTATATTGTTCTTGGCATTTTGCAAGAATCACAATTTTGACTTATGCTCCCAAATTGTGAAATATTAATACTTTCGCTGATCATTCCTCGTGCTGATCTTTCCCGTGCTGAAATTTCCTTGTGCTCAACTTTCATCCTACCCCGCCAACAGAACTCCGACTTTTCCACGAATTTTTGTAAATAGATGTTAAAAAAACTAAACTTGGGAAAATTAACAAAACAACGCGTATTACTGAACGCACCACACACCACACACTGCCAGAAATACCTAAATTTGTATTATGAAAAATTCGCGAAAGAGTCGGTTCGCGGAAGTGTCGTGTCACGGTTCTCACTAATTGTAAATAATAAAACTGTATCTAACTCTAGTTAGTGGTCACAGAGCTAAAGACGTGCTCTGTTGCGCCTCAATGCTTAATATTTGTACACGCCTACACAGTGGGCATTAAGGCGGAAATTTGAGCAGAAATCGATAAGTGACCTTTTTAAATTCGAACAATAGTAAATGTAGTCCTTGTGTATATAATGATCGACTAGTAATGAACTCCTTCAGTGAGTAAGTTAACTTACGAACATTCACAAAAAACACTGTCAAATATGACACATTTGCAAAGATTCTTATTTCTACGTACAGACGTGCAATATTACCCTATCCAAAGCACATATTCGGAATCAGTACAACCTATTGCATCTCCTGATAATAGAAGGTACTCCTTTTGCATCTTGTACCAAACGAAAATGGTCTAGTAGTTTAGATTACTACGGTCCGACATGAGACAACCTCAGTGTGGTGACAGCGCTAAAAAGCGCTAAGCCTGAAGAGACCTGCTAATTACATGAAAATGTTCCTCAACCTATCGTGTATTTATGATGTTCTCGTCTTTTCTCGTCTTTTTTTCTAAGTCGAGTTATTGATTTTGCAAAAACTCATAGGGTTTTCGAGGATACTCACGTTTATCTCCCCCATAAGAGCACTTTTTCCATAACATAAAGTCATATTCGGAATCACCGTGAAAAACTACGTCGAATGATATATAACTTTTTAATTTTTCTGCAGAAATATTTTCGGTCAAACTGAATTATACAGTTGAAAGCCTGTCCGCAGCAAATTTTGCTTAGGAAGTTGGATATTTATTTTAGCAATAGCACGCAAGTGTATAAACACATTTTTTATAGGTTTTCGAATATGATCTCTCCAATAGTGAGGTTTTCGAAATGTAAAAATATTTTTTATGGGTTTTCCAGAGATCCGGTCTCTAGAAAACCCCCAAGGAATTACTTCTGAGTTCTGAAAATCTCATTATTGGAAAGAGCATATTCGAAAACCAATAGAAAAACATGTTTATAGGCTTTCATACCAGTTCTACAGCATATGTCCGCCTGCTCTATAGAAAAATACCCACTGCGGCCTGTTGTGGTGTCTAGCATATTTGATTTGTACATCAGTTTTTAATAAGTTCATGGAAGAACTTTTCCATACTTCATTCTGCCTTCCACCACTTGTTAAAGTTGACAATGAGCAAGCTTTTGGTAAAATGTTGGATGAAACTTTAAAAAATGAAGATGTTATTTGTTTTGATTGTGAAATAAGCGGCCGGTTCATCTTAGAGGATTACCTTTGACGTAACTTTTTTATATGTTTTTTTTTAGCGGGATTCAAACTGTTCTAATCCAACAACAGCCGTGATACAAATTTCAACTGAATCAAAATATTTTCTGTTATATAACAACAGTATTGATCGAACAGTTGTATCCTCATTAAATGAAATTATGCATAACCCCACAATATTGAAAGTATAGCAATGTTCTGTGAGAGTATTAAAAGCTATCAATCGATGTTATTCTTTCTATATTTAGATTATACGCGATGTAACACAAGATGCTATATATTTACCGGAGGAATATGCATTAGAGTTCTGTAATATGTTCGATACGGACACTGCTAGTGAACTACTGGAACTACCAACTACTGTTACCCTGCCAGGCAGAAAGTAGTAACTTCAATGCTTGTAGCCTAAAGGAATTAACAGTCTTTCCTGAAAATTTCCTTCAGTCAGTATGAGATTTGATCGAGATATAAGGATTTTAATTTTTGCTAGTAACAGACGAAAACCCGGCTTTTCCAAAAAATGCCTCTGGTGAAGTTATTTCCATTTCTACACAAAAGCAAATGTTGCCACTATGGTCAGCGTAGTCGATTACCTATGTTCCATGGCATTTCGAGATTCCCAGATATATCTGCCCGGAGATAGACACGTGCTCAGGGAAAGTGCCCCCTGTCCGAACGACGACGAGAGCCTGGAGTTGCATAATTTTGTAGGGTAGCGCCCGGACTATCTACGCATGCAAAAAGACTGCTTACATTGTATGTTAGTTTTCTGAGAACGGAGCTGGTCATCTAAAGATCCTGTGGAAACCCGATCTTTGAAATTTTTTCAAAAGCTATTTCCGGTTGTGAAAAGTTCCACTCAAGTCTTGGGTATTGCACAACGAAAACCACAGGTCTCTATCTCATTCCTATTAGAAGTTATTCAAAAAATCCCCACCTGCACTATATTTTGGGATGGATACTAGTGTGGTGGCTATTGATATTTGTTTCGTATTTTCGTACAATAGCATTGAGTACATTTAGTAAAGTCGTTTCTGTTGAGCGCGACTGAATGTTTCACTGCTTGTAGAATTCTTTCAGACTTAAGGATAGGACTGGTCGACGATATTTTTTCAGTCTAAGGTAATAAATTGAATGGAGGATCTAGTACGAGCTCGAAAATGGGTACAAAATTAGTACCAAACCAAATTCGGTCATTTATGGTTTGAGCATTGAAACTCTTACGAATCTCATCAAGCGAATATGTTTCATCAATATCAGCATATAGACTGCATATATATGTGTGAAGTCGCTTCCGCTAATGCAATCTCTATGAAATCCTCACAATTTTCAAAGTAGCGGAAACTTTCTTTTACATTCTTAGCACGATCTTGACCTGAAGAAAGACGAAATTTTATTTTCTGCTCAAGAAATCTTGCTTCTTGTGATGAAGATTTCAGCATGAGTCAAAGAACAGGACAAAGCACAAATTTCAGGATCGAGAAAGCTCTCTCTCTCCGAAAGAGATTTTCTCGAGGCAATGGGACACTAATTCCACCATGTTTTACCCGGCTGTCTCTTCGAGAACATGATGCAATTCATTTCACCAGATATTGACCTCAAAATAAGTGCACAGCAATTTTATTCATATTTGTCAGCTCTCTTTAAACTGCTGTGTACTCTCAGTTATCATTCAACTTATTCAAGTTTTCGTATCACTTTTATATATAAAAGTGATACAAAAGATTGAATAAGCTGCATGTGACTTTACAGTTAGCACATAGCAATTGAACGACAGAGTTAAGAGATGTGAATAAAATTGCTGTGTATTTACTTATGATGAGCTCAATTTCTAGTTGAATCTAAAATGAATTGCGTCATGTTCCCGAAGAGAAAACTGTGGTGAAATTACCCGAAGACGATTTGTTGTTTAAAAACAATAAATGTCCTCAACACTTAGCCTATTCATTAATGGATCTACGTGATGAAAAAAGCTTCAAAAATGTTCATACTTTTAGCTCAGAAAACATCAGTCCCTTGTAAGTTAAGAAGAAACCATTCCTTATAGCTTAACCGCTGTCAGTTTGTCGGGTAAAGTGAGCCGAACATTTTTTTGTACCAAGAGTCGAGATTAATTTTGCATTTGAGATATGAAGAAGACTTGTTTGTCTGAAAACTCTAGCATTTTACCTATGGAAATGGATCTGTTCTTATTGGGAACAAAAATTTGCTCGGTGTTCTTAATAGGTGCAGCGTCCTTATTAAGAAGGATATATGCCATATTGGATAATTATTATCTCCGGAAGGGAACCACGTTTGGCTCCGAACCTTTGCAGGTAACTAGAGTAAAATGAGTAGAACATAATTGGTTCCTAAAGATTTTTCCCCTGGAGTATTCCTGGTGCAGAAATCGATCGTTTTTTTCAATTTCTCCGTTTCTACCATGTATTTGAATGGATCGTTCTTATTAGGAAATGTGTACTTATTAAGAACGAAGCAACTATAATTCATTTAACGGATCATGATCAATTTACAAGAGAATTAATTAATTTTTTTACCATTATGTTCGGGACACTCTTCTCTATTCAGAATAATGCACTTTTCTCGTCTCATATCACATCGCGTTAAGGTCGGTCATAAGGTCATTTTCTATATGGCCTAAAACTCTATTTAAGAAAATATAAAAATATTAAAGAAATATAGACTTCGTGCAGAAAAGATATCCACGTGTTGCTTTCTTCCTTTTTTCTATTTAGGATGTACTCGCGTGTATATAGAGTCAATAGGCTTTATGTAAACAAGATGTATTTAAATGTAACATTTTTCTGTGTCGAGGAGTATACGTCGCAGAATATATTGATATGGAAAAGACATTATAGAGTCGGGTCGCGTCCACTTTGCCGACACATCACTTTGTCGACAACTCATTTTGCGGACAAAAAATTGAAGTCCAAAAAAGTCTTTCCCAGTTTTCTTTTTTTCTTGGAAATAGACGTTCATTATTTTATTAACAGATGGACTTTAATACAAAACACAAAAATGAACATTCCCGAATTTTCCTTGTAATTGATTTGTGTAGTTTTCGATAGAAATTATCAACAATATACATAAAAATATAATTTTTTTGTAAATTTTTTATGCATTGCACTAAAGTTTTGTTTGTCTGCAACATGTATTTTTTAATAAAATTTGTTCACGCAGCTGATTAAACATAAATATCATAGTCTTATTGTGTCGCATTAATGTAAGGTACCAAAACAAAGAACAGATCCCATACGTCTTAAAGGCATCAAGGATCTCTCTCAAAATAAATAGAAAGTAAAATCT